ATAATCATGGAATCTACTGACCCTTCTGGATAGATGAGGTGAAGAGCGCTTTCGTAAACTCTGCGTAATCGCTGATTTTGACGAACAGACTCCAACCTCACCATAGGGTTGACGCACTTTTGCACCACGAAACTCGATTTTCAAGCGACAGAAAATACTGTAATGTAGCCATTACGACAGCCATACAACAGTGAACTCGTGTGCATGACTGGGAAGAAATTTCGGGACTGAGCACTCTGATTCAGCCGCAGTTGACATTCACTGAATGTTGAGTGGAGCACCCTGTACAATCAAAGCCAACTCAGATCACGAGATAAAACCGGAGACGCTTAAAACTTCAAAATCTTAGCTAATCTCATTCACCGGGTGAAATATGACATAAAACACAGACATAATTAAGGAGATCTAGAGTTATATCGAATCTTCCGCTCGCAGGGAATTTTTGTGGAAAGTATTCCAGGTCTAAATCGCTACCGCATCATTAGGAAAAACCTGAAAGTTGTTGCGAAAGCTGTATCCCCATGTAGACAATGTGATAAATCAAGTTCAGCACTTTGTGGACATTGCAAACTGAGTTTTGTGCTTTAAAAGCGTTCCAAGCCTATGGTGAGGTTGGAGTCTGTTCGTCAAAATCAGCGATTACGCAGAGTTTACGAAAGCGCTCTTCACCTCATCTATCCAGAAGGGTCAGTAGATTCCATGATTATCATTTGGAATGAACAAGAGCTTGAAAACTCTTTAAAGCAGTTGTTTGTTGAAGGAGATTGACTTTTAATGCTTTTAAAAGCAAGAAATGCAGCGATTGCTTCTATTTGAGTAGGAAGACAGGCCGTAAGTGTCGCAAATGTTTCATATTTTGGGATGTAATTGTACAAAAAAAATTGAGGGTCAGCGAATGCGATAGTGATTAGAAAAACTAGGTGGCTTTATAATTTTGACCAGCTTTCATTGAGGGCTTTTTCAAACTTTTTCGTTTTTCTAGGTTCAAACTCAACAAGACTGGAAGCCGTTTTGAGGGGTTATGGTAGGTTGAAATGCGCACAATACAGCAAAGTTTCAGACAGATTCATTGACAAGAACAAAAATTACGACGATTTCTAGAGTGGCTGTATAATTATGTACAGCACTGTACGTGTAGTCGATTGGTTCGTGCGGCGGGCTTGAAGTCGGTATATGCAAGTTCGAGCGGGCGTGGTGCAGATGTTTTGCGGCGGCAAACCCAGGCATACATACCTTTATAAAGGGCTTCCCCATGTGTGAAGCGTACGTGTGGTCGATCGGTTAGTGCGCCGGCGTTCGAAGTCGTTGCATGCAAGCTCGCAGCGCGCGCGGTGCGAATATTTTGCGGCGGTCTGCCTGCGGCCAGCCTGCGAGTTCACGCCGGAGTTGGCAACTTTCCGTGATGTGTGCCAACTTGTCGGCATCTTTGATGCCGCCAAGTAGGGTAGGTTACTACCAGCCCAGAGTTTCATTGCAAATTCTCATGGCCAGAACTCAAGCGCGAATGAAGGCAGACTTTCAAAAATTTAGCTGCTTCATGTGATGAAGATTGTCTACGTTATACACACACATTACACGTTATACACTTTACTATTTTTTTTAGAATTTGCCTAGACTGAGATTTGGCGTTTAAATCTGGGTAGTCGTTCTAGTCATTCTGCGACCCTAAATTTCCTTTAGAAAGAGCAACGCGAAATAGTCATTCTGCAAGCATAATGGTGGCCTCCTGTTAACAATTTTGCAAAAATGTTCAGCTGTTCAGTACGATAAAATTTAAAAAAAAAACTCCATATTTTGGGCTTCAGGGCCTACGAAAAAATGTTGAAAAAAGCTGACAATTATGAATTTCAATTTTTTTCCATTTCGCAAATTTTCTTTGCTCTAGCCCTTTTTATTCTTGTGTACTAATGGCTTGCTGCTACAAGATGGGCTACTTACTTACAATAACAAATTTTGAAGAAAGTTGTAATCAGTTAAAAACGAGTTTTAAAAAAACTTTTTCTTGCTTTTCAATCCATATTTTTCTCCCGTTTGTGATATGACTATAGGTGATATGGTTTATTGCGAAAAGTTTGCTGTCTCTGATGATCTTTACAGCATTGGAAAATGTAGATTTTCTGAAAAGTCAAAAACGTCAAAAGGAGAACTCGCAAACGCACATTACCTTGGCATCAACTCAATGCAAGTTATTCGAAAGCACCTATTCATGTTTTTAGTAAATGTGCGCATTCCTTGTAGTTAGCACACTCAACACCTTGCCGACTATGCGCTCCCAAGCTGATATGCACATCATACATTAGGACCTTGATGACTTCACATTTTTGTTCTCAAAACTTCTTTCAGGGAATGTCGTTGCAGATATGAAAGATGGAATCGGAATCAGCTCATCAAGTAGCATCTAACGATATGCATTTCATTTCAGTTCACCACTGCGATTTTGAATCCTTTCTTGTAAGCTTTGTTTTCATAATGTAATAAATGTAGATTGCAGCATTTCGATACTTGGACCAGACAAGTTTTCCACATCTATTTCATTTTTTGAAAAAAGAGATGAGCCGCAACACTGCTTCGCGTAATTGTCGCTCTCCCGAACCACTGTTTTAGGTAAGAGCACTATGGTAGAGTGTAGAGTTTTGGCCGAAAAATTTTTTCATTGTGTTTTGACTGGTCGAGTTTATGAAACAGACAGGTGGGTCTTGTACTCGTAAAATCAGGGTAACTTTTTTCAAGAGGCCTTTAAACTACATGTTGCTACCTTCACCTTAGTTTGGAGGCAACAAACGAATCATCGATCCTTCTATATCACCGTAGAAATACGATACGGATTTGAAATATTCTGCGCTTTAAACGTCTATACTACCCCAAACAATTGTTCAAAAGAGCTAAAAAGGTGCTGGAAGTTCTTACAGTAATTTCACAGTAGAAAGAAATTGGACAACTCGTTTTGTACAAAATTGTACTGAATGAAGGAAAAAATGAAGCTTGCTAAAATGAAAAACGAAGCCTAAATAAAGCTTGCTTTACATCATACTTTCAGAATGATGTAAAGCAAGCTTCACATCAAACTGAAAGTCTGCGAAAGGTATTTTGACAAAAGAATTACTAGCAAGTGAAGTTCAAAATATTTTGTAGCACAATGTATCTTTTCTTTCAGAAACAGATTTTTGAGAAGTGTTTTTCATGAGAGTTTTTAGTGGATTTCGAAAATCCGTTTTTTTTCACTCCTTTGATGTTTATTTATTCTTTGTACACGTGCACTATCAAAGGAACGATACTCGGTGTTCAGGGCCTTTTGATCTAAGATTGTACCATTATACTGCCTTGGAACGCTGATTACGAATGTGACTTCCGTTTCTGCTAGTCACTTCTCTAAAAGGACTTGTGAACGATTTTCGCGCTAGTTTCCACCCAAGCGAAATACAATGGAACGCCGTTGCTCCGTTATGCTCGGTGTAGTGGTCAGTGCGATAGCGTCAGAGGTTGACGCAGGTGTAGGTTCAATCCTCTTGTGTTTTTTCTGTTTTGCATTGCCTCAGTTAAGCTTCTTCCTGAATGTTAGACATATAGGCTGCTGCATGGCGAAGGTGCTATATCTTAAAGCGCGAAGGCGGTTCTACTAGCCGCAGAGCGCATGAGACGCAGGATTTACAACAGTGAGCATACGCGCGCGTTCGCACCCGTTCAACTGCTACCGCTTCTGCGCCTTCGTCCTGCACTAACCTTTAGTTTCAAAGTTCTCGAGCTAAATGCATGCCTTTACTCTTTGAAAATTCAGCAAAGGTCATTCTCATATGAGTGTTTCCTATATTTATTCTAAAAGATGCTAGTAAAAGTAAAAATGACCAGAAAATGAATACGTGTAGACATAGATTAAAACGTAGGGATTGCAAAGAGCGTTTGACCCCATGTGCCGCCTTGTGAATGACTCTCTTGTTAAAGCTTGTCTTTTTTTGTTCGAGTAAGTCAGTGGGATCCTTATCAATGGGTACGTTTCAGCGCAAATTATCACATTTTCTTCCAGTTTTGCATAATTTCAAAGAGAAAGAGCATGCATTTATCCAAGAATGCTTAACTTTCAAAACAAAGCCAAATTGAGGCAATGCAAATCTGAAAAACACTACAGGATTGGAACCTACACCTGTCAACTTGTAAGGCTATCAGACCGTATTTCCCCCGTAGGCCGGCCAAACTTGGCGCGAAAATCTCTCATGCTTCTTTCAGAAATCCGATTAGCAGAAATTTTGAAATTAACGTTCCAAGGAGAGTGTAGTGGTATGCATCCCATCCCGAGACCCACCGAGTATGGTCCCTTGTAAGATAAGATAAGACAATAAAAACTGAAATTCTTTTCTTTCACTCTCTTCCTTCTAAACCCGTGAGAGATACCGGTGATAATGGCATAATGATTGCGAAGTTTTGTGCTAAGAAATGCTCAGGATATTCTTGAATATCTTGAGCCGAGAATTTTTGACCAGTACCTGGCTAGTTGCTGGAGCTATTGTAAATATAAAAATTTCAGAAGAAGCGTTATAGACTCGCTCCGTAAAAGTGGGCCAAGTTCAGTCAATGGTAGGAAAACAGGTACCTTTCAGGCTAGATACTGGGAATTTTCGAAAAATAAATTAGGAATTTTCAGGAAAAAATTAAGAATTTTCAAAAGAATGCATTTTCTGAATTTTTTCAAATGCCAATTTTTGCAATATTCTCGCAAAAAAATTTCAGAAAATCCAAATTTTTCACTGCATTTAATGGATCTCTATTGTAATGGACAATCATACAAAAGTATGGTGTAATCAAAGGTTTGTTTTTCGCAGTCGTTCTTCTTGCTTTCTGCAAGACTCTGTCAGAAAAAAATTATAGCCAAAACTAAACTTCAAAAACTGCATAAATTATGAATTGCTAGGCTTCATGCTTCACTTATTGAGCTTCAAGAATTTTTCGCGTAGATGTTCAAATTTTTGTAGAAATATTGCGCATACGGTTTCAAAATTGAAAATTACCTGGCAATCACATGCCCCCATCCGTAAAGCAGCATTCCAACAAATGCCAAAGCAGTTCCTACGAGGTGAACATTCCCATCTCCTTCTGAATACTGAAATTAGAGAGTTTTAAAAGTGCAAAGTACATCTCTTCATCTTTCAACTAGACATCTCTTCATTACCAACTCACACAAAAATTAGCAGCCAGTGTCAAGCCGAATGCGCCGGCAAGTCCAGCAATCAGTATCAGTAATGACGTTATGTACCACCACCCCTTTCTCCAATGTAGGCTGTGACCATAGAATTCGACTACTTGTAGATGGACCGCACAGAATGTAAGGATATCTGCAAAAAATGATCAAAGTCACAGCTATAATTTGGCTAGAAACATACAGAAAAAGGCGGACATGTTGAGAAGTTGTGCGAATAGCGCACTTGCCGGGTAAGATTCTGTGAAATTACTAAACAAATAACTTCTATTGTATTAGTAATTTATTAGTGAAAATAACATAGGAAGACTTTACCCAATATACGGAACAGCGATTGATGAGTTGAAGTAGTCAGAGAATTTAGTGAAATGGCTGTAAGTAAAGGTGTGAAAATCACGCAGTTAATTGTCAAATCTAAACTTGAATTGCAAAACACAAAAATATGAAAATGATGGATAAAATGATTACAAAATAATTATTGAGCATACCCGCTTATGGTACCACCTATACACAGTAGTGCCGACAGTATGGGTAACAACCAAATGCAGAGGAAGTTCATGCCGAGTATTATCCGATTGCAGCTATCTATAACGAAAAGAATTTTTTGAACCTGAAAATGTACAAAGTCATAGTTAAGTTATAAATGCAAGCACTTACACCACTTTCCTCAATGATAAAGCTGATTCATCCCAACTTCTAGGGACGGCCAGTGAGAGATAACCGATATAATTGCACTTTATCACGTAATACTGACATTAATAACGTCATGCAGGAGAGGGGATAAGAACATTTTTGACTTTTTTCCTCACCTAGAGCGCACCAGATAACAAAATAATAGTCAGACAAGTACCTAGAATTTTAGTCTGATACAGCGCGTAACATGATCTCATCTTTATGGCACTACAAAATTTGGCACTTTGGTAGACGATTACGGAAGAGTTCAAATTCATTTTATACAAGGACGCTCGATTGTGGTACTCAGCTTCTTCTCGTGTTTCCTTAGCACTTGCTAAAAATTCATGCAGATCACATTGTCTTTAAAGCTTCAAGAATTCGAAAACTGCAAAAATTGCATCAACACGTAGCTCTCTTTGACATGCATTTGTCGTAGATAACAAAATAATTTTATTGTCTTGACATTCCATCTTTTTATGAAATGCTTGCGTTTTTATTGAGTCTTTCCTGAACATCATAAACGATGTAAGGTTAGTAGACAAAAGTGTAGAACTATAATTTTCCAATACCAATGAAACACCACTTTCACTGAAATGTCTACCACGCGGATACTTCGAGACCCAGCTCAAATTTGAAGTTAAGCCTTTCACTAGGCGTAAATATGTAACAAACGTTAACAAAAATATAAAACGCAACAAGTATAGGAATGTCAGAACTACTTACTGGAATAAAGGTGCAAAAATGGGAATACTTGTCAATACTTGTAGCCCTTCGACTTAAGGGTCGGGCACTCTTCACGCGATTTCAGTCGCTACGCGATTTGGCAGTATTCCAACTGTCCATAACTCATTGTAAGCACAGTTCAAATGTACAGAAGTAGGGCATTGAATCAATCTACTTATGTTATACTTACTATGCATGCGCAGTTTCTGTTGTTGGATCTCAAGACTCCTGGCGAATTGCCAAATCGCGTCGCGACTGAAATCGCGTGAAGTATGCCCGGCCCTTTATGCGTTGGAGAGAATTGAGAATGATCTACCAATCGCAAAATAGTCCATTGGCCATCTAGCTCAACACTCAGTCTTTATCCTGTAGACGTATTCCATAGCCATCTGGCGCAGCTATCGTCCAAATCACTCTGACGTGCTATCTTGTTGTCCTAATGAAGTTGCCAGAGGATACTGTAACTTGCAAACCTTCGAGTGATTACTTGTTTTTTCTTGTCATCGGCGACAGTGGTTTGCCACTGGACTATTTGGTCCCTAATATAGCAGATTTTATAGAATGTTTAAGGACGCACCAAAAACTGTAGAATCAACTGTAACCTCAATTTTGAGGATGAGTTTTAGTCTAAGAAGTGAGTTTTAGTTCTTGTACAGCTCCCCGATAAATCTGATAAACTCATTCTATTTTTTAGAGTGACCTTCTGTTTCGCTTCAACACATACAGTCGTTATCAACATACTATAATTTACAATCTCTAATATCTCGATCGTTGTAGCGGCCTTTGTCAGAAAACGAAGAGGAGTACTGTCATGTATCCGCGCTCTGAAATTTCTAACAAAAAAGCGAATGCGAGAAGTGTATGAGAAAATTGTTCAGCTAAGAAAACCTTTACTGCGTTCGCTTTCTGCCCCAGCTTTTAGTGTTGGAGGTGCGAACACCGTTTTGAGCGCAGGTGTTAATGAAAAATTAGCGCACTGGGGAGAAAGCAAGGAATGAAAATCTGTTGGTATGTAAAAAAATTAATAGCTCTCGTAAGAGCATTCAAGAAATGCGCGAAATAGATCTGTATAAACAACATAGCAAGGAGCATTCAGTGCGTACGAGATACCATACAAATAAATATCGCCGGCTTGTTTTTGTGACTAAACATGTAAAGAACATAGAATCTTTAAACAGTCACTCTTGAGAATTTGGAAAGTTTGAGTTTCCTGTACCACTGCCCATCTAACAAATGGGAACTTATAAATTTCAGGAATGGCGTTTATAATACTGGACCCCTGCTCAGGAAATGAAGCTTCGGGCTTTTCGAATGCTCGAGGTCAAGCCATGACACAGTTTTTTCAATTGTTTCGTTTACGCTCAAGTATCTCAGATATTTTTGTCTATTCAAATGTAACATCAAAAAGCGTTATATGGACTCTGTCTTTTACATAATACTTACTTAAACATTCAAAGGGCTTTCTTTATGTGGCGTGCGGGCACAGCACGAGTTTTCTGTCAGTGTCCGTCGCTTTTCAACTCCAATCTGGTTCTCGTCGCTGGTGCATCCATGAGCTCCAGGTGCAAACATCGTATAAAGTATATTATAGTCCAAATCGCATCGAAATCCAGTCATTCGAATACATTCGAATATGTTCGCATTTGAAATTTAAATGTCTGTGTTTTCCGTTTTTGATTGAGTTTTGGAACTATAACTGAATAATCAGACGGAGTTTCGAAAAAGAATCAAAGGCTCTAGTAATCAAAATACGGGGTTTCAAGTAAGATTCGGAAACTCGAATAATTAAAAATTGGGGTTTTGAATAAAATTCGACTTATTATTTAATCGATTCTCAATGTTGGATTATAATCGATATTCGTTCATTCGTCGTTTTTAATTCTGGAGTTTCATTCGGTACCAGTCTCGAAATTTTCACATATCTTTGGTCGTTTATTCGTCTAGTGAGTGTTTGTGTGCAACACGAAAGAGATCAACTTCGAAGCAAAAACTTAATCTTTATATAAATCAATCAAATAGCTGATGCGATTTTGTAAAGTAGGTACTAGTCAAGTGAGTCAATGCATCAATTTCTTTCATAGAATTAGTTTCTTTCAAATCAGCATTCTTCATGATCAATGATACGCCTTGTGACAACAATGCAAATCTGTATCCATTTTCGAGTGAATTTCTAGGCAAAGTTGTAGAAACTTGTTCTCTCTGGGATTTCTTGAGTTGATGTTCTAAGTGTTTTTTTCGGTTGCTTGAAAAACTCCAACCTTTTCTGCATCGCTCGCGAGAGACTTCTTCTGTTGGTATAGGCACAAAAATACTTCGTTCTTCCTACATCATCATTGCCTTAATTTACTCGCGCTATTCATTGAAGTAAGGAAAAGAGGACGTGACAGGATTAGCCACTTTATGTCAAGAACAAAAATTTAGTGCTTTTGAAGAGATGTCGACAATGAGAGGATGAGACAGTATCCATTAGACCAAATTTGTGAAGTTTTTTTTTGTGAAGAGATGCGATGGTTGCAGTTGTTGTTGAATTACAAGAAACGGTAGATATGAGAGTTCTGCTGGATTACCTGTGTTCTTATTTCCTTTCGGCTGTATAAATATGTTCGCATGCTTCAGCTTAACTCCTAATTTTTCGTGCGGCGTGAATTGTGCATGTCCGCCCAAAAGCTCTTATTTATTTCAATTTTTATTTTTATCATTTGCTTCATCTTATTTTAAAAAATTTGTAGAGAAAATCGTGGTATTCAAAGTGGAATAAAGACTAGATAAACAATTATTTTCGACAATCAAACTATGTTACTTTCAAATAGCTGAGTATTTTAAACCAGCACGATGCTCTGACACCTATACGCTCAAAAGTGCTTCGTGTATGCGCGTGTGCATGGGTGTATGAGCTTGAAGACGGAGCTCTCTTGACTCATTTCGACAACAACTTTGCGCATAAGGAGATACGTCTGGAAACGTATCAACGGACATTTTAGAAACTGGCAGGTATGATGGCCTGTGGGTTGAAAATCATTACAGTGAGATTCTCACCCAAAAAAACATTCGCAGGGCACAATGTTGAGCACGCGAACCGACAAACTTGTCTCCAAAATTTCTATCACCGCCTTTCAAATAATGACATTACAATGGGTGAATAGAAAAAGAAAGAATTTTGCACTTGTTCAATATGAGCAAATCAAAAGTGCTAAAATGTTAAGTAAAAAATGATGGAAAATATAAAGAATGAAATTCTCCCCAAACTCTTTGTTTTTCCGCTAGTCTTTTTTGCAATATCGAAGGAATGATATAAGTCAATATCAAGACGCTATATCAACTGCTCTCGAAAGCCGAACGAGCACTAATCTCGCACATTTAGCATGAAAGCGCCAACAATTATGTGCTGTAGATGTCAATCCATACCCAACGCAACTTTTCTTTTTGATCAGTTTTTACAAGCTTTTTAGCATGAAGCAGATTGATACATAGAGTAAGCGATAGCTGCATGAAAAGCTAACACCAGCCTGCCCCCTCGAGTTCTAAATTTTCGAAAACATCCCAAGATCGTAGTGGAGGGCATACTCAATGTTACCTTGAAAATTTTCTGTCGCACCCCGTACACTTGTAGAATTCTCAGACCGCTGCTTCAGAAAAGAATCAGTGAATATTTTGCTGAAGTGAGAATTGGTCAGTTCCGCTATGGTATGCTCACATGGCGAAGCGAATTCTTACATGTGCTGTGAACTCATTTCAGTTGAAGGTTAAGGCATTTTTGCGCACGCTACGACGGATTCGCTTTGTACAGAGGGAAATGGGGTTTACAGTTTTGCGAATGTTGATCAGGTAGGGCTTGATATCTATGCTAGTGTAGCACAGATATCAAGCCCCTCTTGAAATCTTACATCTCAAAATCTGTACAGCTGTCTTTCATTAAAGGGAGCCGAGTTTTGCGAAAAAAAGTGCGATACAGCAAGCTTTGCTTGAGTTAGCCAATGTAAAGAGAACGCTTTAAGTGAAAATCCACCCAGATCATGGACCTACAGATCCCATCTTGCATAAACAGGCAAAGAGGGGAGGATCAGAAAAAGTGATCAAGTTTTGTCTTTTTCTGCACAAGCTATTGAACTACATACGAGCGTAAACCTCAAAATGAGCTTGTAAAAGCCGTAATAATTGTGACTCAAGGTCTCAAAATGCTGACAATGCAGGTGCAAATTCTCAACCGTCCTACTTGTCTCTTATCTCTTTTCTGTTTTTGATGTATCTCCGCACCCAGATTACTCTTTAAGCTAACATGTGAAAGGATCCTGCGTATGACTATAATGTTAGTCGCTTGATTTGCAAGATCCTGCAGACCGCTTCGTAAGATGTATGCTAGCGACACGCCCAACTTTGCTCTTGTTCAGAGGTGATTGCGGTTTGTAATCCGAAAATAGGCCTCAGAATGACTTGCAGTTAACACAATAGTCACTTGTGACTCTTTGACGCTAAGAGGCCTATAGTGCTGCAA